TTCTGTCTGCTCTCGTTCTCCACCCTATTGCAAGGGCAAAAGAGGGACTCGATATATCTTTATGTTTATATCTACATGTTTCCATGCCTGCCTCTCAAAAGATGAACTAGCTTTCATTTAGGACATGTTTGTAAACCACCTGACAAAGGCCAATATTCACTCTTATTTTAGCTTTATCTCAGTCTCAACTAATTCCTGGATTTTTAGCTTCTAGAGTTCACAACGACATTGCATGCAGTCATTTGTTATAGGTTGTTAATATTGCAGCTATAAGTATAACCTTTTTAAAGACTTCTGTGAGTAAGCAGTTCATTAGTGACATTACTTCATTATGAGTAAAACCCTCTAACCTCTCCAATCCCTCTGCAATTCAGTGGTGACTTTCAAAGTGATCTTTTCTTCTTTTTTAAATTTATTTACTACCAAGGCTTTCTCAGAGATCACTTAATGAACAAAAACAGGTTCAGAACAAACTTACATTATTAACTAAAGTAAAAGCGGAATTACTGATTGACAGTTATTAGTGGAGTAACAAAAGAGCAGAGATATAGTCAACAACCATTAAAGACATGGACCAACAGACATTGATATTCCAAACAGTATCATTAACATTTTTTGCTTTGTTTACCTCTGCAGCTCGTCCTCTGTGTCTACAGCAGAGTCACCATCATCACCTCCTGTGAAATGAAGCATTTGTCAATCTGGTAAAAATTACCAAAAACTACTACTACTGACTAAAAAGGTACAATGTTTAATTTCAGGTGTACAGTGTGATACAAAAAGTCGATATTACATATTTAAGGGGGGTGGGCATTGGGTGGCACGTGCTACCTGTGAAATCTAATAGGCCACCAAAGGCACCCCTGCATTTTCCTAAACTATGATTGGCTATTTCCATCCATGTTGCTAAGCTGGTAAGGGGATATACAGCTGAACCTCACGGCCCGCCCTACTCTGCTTCTGATCAGCTAGTAGTCCTTAACTAGGAACTGCGCATGTGCAACTCCCAACAAAGATCTTGTAGAGACAAGATGTATCATCCCGTAGCTAAAAGTCTTCAACACAGGGTGAAAAGAGGTGCTGCAGCAATGTGCAGTATGTTTTTTGAAAATTAAACCATGTAAACCTGTCCTGGTACAACCCCTATATAAGATTTTGAAAAATCAGCTTTCAGACATGGAAAATTAAATGAAGCAGCCGGGCAAGGAAAACCAAAGCTTCCAGAAATATTGAGTTTCCTTAAAAAGAAAGACAGGATAGCCGATGGTCGTTGCTAAGACAGCATTTAGGCCTACCCCTTTTATTTACAGTCTTCTCCTCTCTAGCATGAGCTTTGCAACTTTACAACTAGCTCTGCCTAACCAATCGTCACTCCTAATGCCTCAACCCAACAGCCAATCAGAGGCAGTTTAGTTTAGTTTTTTTTTCTAGTCCGCTGCACTGCGGAGTCTGACAGCTGAACACGTGATGCTGCTGAACAAGCTGTCCGTCTGGTCTGACGGCAAGCCTGATTTCATTTCATTTCATTTATTTATTTAAGATGTAAGACAGAAGTAAGCTAGCTTACGATATTAACTGTCCTCTCAGATACAGTAATGTAAGCTAATTGTTCAGAGCTGTGGCAGCAACCTGGATATAATGTATTCTAACATCAACAGGATGAAACGTGTCGCCATCTGTGTTATTTACACTGGGGACATGTCCCCATCACTTTTTAAAAGCGTTAAAAATGCTTTAAAAATAGGTTGCAACATGAAATGGTACAGAACCAATGAAAGTGCTTTGAGAAAGGTTTATTTGCATTTTTAAGTAAGAATAAACAAGCTACTGATTATAAAATGACCCCAAAACATACAGCACCAGTCAGTAACTTTAACAACTTCTTGTCACAGTTTCTATTTGGCCAAATTTTCCGTTCTCTCCCTGTGACAAAAGAGGAGAGAAGACTAAATCATGCCTGCATGTGTGGCTAATTCAGTAGGGATGATATTACACGAGAAAATTTGATCTACAGGAGAAACATATGTGAAAGCATCATAGAATGCCTGAGAGCTGCACTGCATTATATTCTGTAATACTTTGAATTGTCACCTGCCACCTGAATTTTGTGGTTTCCCTTTACATAAATATAAACATTGCCATCCTAAATTGATGTAGGAAAGGCAGAACAGGAAATGTCACCAGAATGCAGGAAATTAAGTTTTTAATGCTCAAAATTATCTGTGTGAGGATCCCCACACCCCCAACTCATATATTTCAGCTTTGATTATTTTTATAAAATACTGTTAATTTATCACATCTCGTTCTTTTGACACCAGTATGGTGCATTGCCACATCTCGTAAGCTAAGTGTATCGTCACACCCCTAATCTGAGCCCTTTATGTCCCCACTACTTTTCGACACAAAGTGACGCCCTTGCATGTTGGTATAATCCGTGTATGGTTTTTCTTTCAGTATTTTGTTGAAAACCAAAACGGAAAAATTGAAAAACGGTAAACAAAAAAACAGACATCTGTTTTTGTTTCAGTTTTTAACCCATGACTGAAAACAAAGGAGCTGCGTTTTGTTTGATCTTTGACCGTTGTTGTATCCCTACAACCCCTTCTCACTCCCCGACTCGTGACTTATGGCATCGTCAAGGCCTATCATGTCTGTCTGTAATGCACTGGGGATCCCTGTAGCGTCATAGGTCAACACAGTGGGGGAAGCCCTGTAGCATCAGTTTGTGACGGTAAAGGCTGGTATGATATTTAACAGAAAAGACTGCGTAAGAACGTGGTTGGTGTGAATGGAGGTTCAGAACCTGGACTTTGAACCAGGAGACCGATGTTTGTGTACAGTGTGAAAGAAAAAGTCGATATTACATATTTAAGCTATTTTATATTATTATTATTTATTTTATTTTCTGTTAAATATCATACCTGCCTTTGCCGTCACAAACTGACGCTACAGGGCTACCCCTACTGCGTTGACCTATGATGCTACAGGGATCCCCCACTGCATTACATGCTATTTCTTTTCAAGTCACATCGCATATCAACTATGGCGAATATGATTGTAGCAGTGAGCACTATAGGCCCATTATAGCCACATAAGAAAAAAGAAACATGAGAATGTAGGCTACTTGTTTTGCAAGATTGCGTCAAGCTGGAGGAGCCACTCAAGCAAAATTCTCAAATTTCTAGATTAAGTACATCAGCATCAAAGAAGCATTTTGTTTTGGGCTGATCTGAAGCAGCTGGTTACCTGAGCGATCTAAGAAAATACCCAATTACAGGGTTCGATTTACGTGGGAGTCATCTGTGGGGGTCTCCAATTCATTTATCAACAACCATTATTTGGAATAATCACAAACAATGTAATTTTCATTGGAAAACCCCGACGAAGCTCAGATTATAATTTGAACCCTGCCCGAATATGCTTATCAAGGCTTTTTCTCGAGGCTACAGCCAGGGTGTGAACTACGGGGAGCTTTACTCCTCTTATTAAGACATGAGCTCCCCTGAAAACATGATTTGTAATATTTTGGGGGGTCTCTAAAATATCGACAATATGCTGTTTTTGCCATTCATTTTCTGTAGCCTATAATCATGGATCATGCGTAAATCAGTAGCGCCAGGCTTCGTCCAGCCAGAGTGCTCACAGACTGTGTGTTCCTGCAGCTGGAGGCTCTCCGCAACTCCGCACAACTTTCGAAATTCTTCCATCTCAGAAAATAAAGGTCAGGTTGAAACAGCGTAGCCTAGAGAGGCTGAACGAAAAGAAAATTACCCGAACCTTTTAATCCATGTATGATTGGTTAATATACAAGCTCGCCGAATTAACTAATAATAGCTCATGTTTGCTGTGTACCATTGGATGTACTGACCACTATCAGTGAATTAATTTTAAACTGAAGAAACCTTAAAAACCGGAGGATTCTCAAGAAAGCGTTCCTGCTCCAGTTGCTAGTGAGTTACAAACTGAACGTTGAGCCAATAGAAGCCTCCGGTACTGCAGCTATATTATATTATACTGTTTTTCAAACTAAAAACCCACTTATGTTGATGTTCAAGCTCATCTTAATTACATTTAATCAATAAATGTAAAATAAGTGTATCTGCTGCAGGTTTATCAAGTGTAACAACAGCGCTACACAAATTGGACTCATTAGGCCTAAATATCAAAATTGTTCTGTTTTGGTTTTAAAACGACTTGGTTTTTCTGATTTAGATTTGAAACTAAATAATCAAAGAACGAACCATACACGGATTCAGTATCTTTCTCTTGTTGCAGTAGACAAATGCACGTTATCTATAGAACATGTAAACTTAAAAAAAAAAGAAAGACGCATCTTACACTGCCGCTGTACATTTCTCTGACGTGACAACAGAACTGTTACTTCTTTACATTCTGTTGATTTTTTTTGTTTTAAACTCAAATTCGGGCCACATTTTAAACATTGTACCTATAATGCTAGAAAAGGCATTGCAGGTAAAATGTGTGCTATGAACAGTTTCTTGACCTCCTAGTTTACAAAATCACTGAATTTCACAAATTTCAAAGAATTTATTTTTGGTCACTGTGAAAGGAATTAAATCTCACTATTGCTTTAAATGTTCATTATGCATAGGCAGAATCCCGGTGAATCTATGTTTCTATTAAACATATCAGCAGCTCAAAAATGTAACACAATTTCCATAACCACACAATCCTGTGCTGTTGTGGGGAAAGAAAAGAAGATAAAATTAAAATGCGGTTTCCCTGTATGTGTTTATTGTGTCTCCTCACTGATGCACTTTACTGTTGGCCTCAAATTAACATAGAAATGAGAATCATGCACAAGTCCCTTCATAGTGATTACATCTACAGTCTTGTCCTTTTCACAGTGGCTTTGTCAACACATCCGTTGTTTCAGGTTCTTCATAGAGGTTCCTTTTGTCTATTGACCATGAATTTTTGAATAAACTCAAACAAAAGATTTTCAAATTATTTATCTAAATGGACAAAGGATGAAAAATGTTGATGAATTTACGCACTTAGGTGTTACTCTAGATTCCACTCGAACATTAAAAATGCATTATAAAAAAGGTGCCAAATACTGAAAACACACCAGTATCATAGTGATATAATTGTTAAATATAAAATGTTAAGCATTGGAGCAGATAAAATTATCCATAATACTGCTTCTATTTAAGCATATAGGGGTAAAGTGTTATCCGTTATTAGAAGAATAGAATTAGAAGATGAAATTTTAGTGTAGTATTTCTGTTTTCTGATCTGCTGCAGGCTGGGTTAAGTTTCTGTTACTTAATATGATCAGATTGTGTATAAAATCTGTTGCACAAACAAAGCAAACTTTCATTATAAAGACTACAGCTATGCTAGCAGCTTGGCTGGGTCATACTAAGACACAGTGAATATATCTATCTATCTATCTATCTATATAAATAATGAATCGAGACTGCAGCTGTGCAGCTTCTCAAGATTAAAGCGGAGCTACCGTTTGTAACACCCCCCTCGTGGCGGCGTCACCCCCCCCACCCCGGTAAGGGGATCAGCTGTGTACGTTGATAGATATTTATTAGTCCTTTTGGAAATTCAGTGCGTCATACATCAAACATCAGAGCAACAACTGCTTTACCAGCACAACCAAGTGCTATACAAGTTATACTAAGGTGCAGTTCCCCGACACCCAGTTAACTCATGACTGCGACATTACAAACCAAACTCACGGCTTAACCAGTAGAACAACAAACGCACGTGTACAGTTATAGCTGAGGATTTCAGCTTACTTTGGCTAGCCTTCAACTCAACAATCAACCAATCATGATTACAGCTAAATGCTAAAGTTGCTGTTACTGTTACCTTGTCTGTGGTCTGCTGGCAGAACACCGGGTGCTTTCTGATCAGATGCTGTTGTGCTGTTGCGGTAGCCCACATAAGTTTTGTTTTACGGTGGGTGGACGGTGTAACATTACAGAGTTGTTAGCTTTTAGCTTGAAATAATCCCATACTTTGGACACTTTCTTCTTCGTCCCTCCCTATTTTCTCTCTCTTCCTCCACCTTGCAAACAGCGCCATCATAATCACGATTTGTGTCGATGCATTTTTGTAATCGAATTAATTGATTTAATTGATGAATCGTTTTAGCCCTACATCTTAGATTAGCTAATTAGCACTAAACAGTAAAAAAAGTCAAGAAGTCAGAAAGTCAATATGATCAAACTCATCAGGATTCCTTGTCTGGAGATCACAAACTTCTACACAAAATGTTATAGAAATCCATCCAGTAAGATTTAAATACTGAAAGAGAACAATGTCTCACACAGTGTAGTGAGTATGACAAGACGATTCTACTAACGGAGATCACTCTGTGGAAATACATTACATGTATAAATTATGTATGAAAGTTTGATGTGATTCACTATAGCTCAGACACTTTCAATTTCTGACTTTGGGGTTTGGACTTCATGTGTTGGTACAGACTGTACCTTTGGCTATTATCTGTATACTGGCTATTATTTGTATACTGTATATTAAATTCAGGGGCGGCACGGTGGTGCAGTGGTCAGCACTGTCGCCTCACAACAAGAAGATCGTGGGTTTAAACCCCGGTTGCCCCGTCCTTTCTGTGTGGAGTTTGCATGTTCTCCCCGTGTCTGCGTGGGTTCTCTCCGGGTGCTCCGGCTTCCTCCCAAGGCTAGGCTAATTGGTGACCCTTAATTGTCCTTAGGTGTGGATGTGAGTGGTTTTCTGTCTATGTGTGGCCATGGCGACCCCCCACGACCCTGTACGCAGGATAAGCGGTTGACGATGGATGGATGGATATTAAATTAAATAAGAAAATTAAATTTATCACTTTTACAATCACTCTTTCTCTTATCCTAACAACAGTTTCTGCAGTACACACACACAAAAAAAGAAAGAAGTGTAGAGTCATTCAAGGAAATGGCAATGCTGATGTTGACGGAATCTTTAACAAAACGTAAGTTTTCAGTTACACTGTTCCACACCAAGACTTTCTATCAAAGTAGTTTGATCCAAACCTGGTTCATCTGCATCAGTGGAGCCAGCATACTCTACGTCTTCACTCCCCTTTTCCTGGGTCTTTTTGGGGGTCACCTGTCTCTCCTGCTTCTGTGGAGTCTGCAAGAACAGCATGGACAGAGTGTTGAAACTGACTGACTGTTACAAACTGGAGAGGATCATATTTTATGGGCTCACTTAAAAAACTAATTTACCTTTGTGTTCATTTCCTCTTCACTCTGGTCGTCCACTTCCATTTCGCTCTCAGAGCTCGACTCCGCTCCATCCATCAAATACCTAGAGGAAGACAAAAAAAAGAACGGTGAACAAAATGTGTCAGGATGATTAAAGGCCAGAGGGAAGAACGCCTGCACAATATATCTTGCTTCCCATCAGGTTTACTTGTACAATGTTTCAAACCACTGCGGGCCTTTGTCAGGCAATAGTGTATTGAAAGCAGCTTCAGAATGAAGGTAATATTTTACACCAGACATTCAATGTCCTGATGTTTAAAACATTACCACTGCCTGTATATGAAATACTTTGACGTTGACGTTTATAGGTTGGGAGACAAGTCTAATTTTCTGCAGGGGGGAAGAACAAAAAAAAACAAAACACAAAAACTTGTATTTCAAACAATCTCCAGGAGAAGTCATAAATTAGGCTTGTTCCAAGTACTCTCCCAACAGCCTTTTCTTGTTTCAGTCACTCCCATTGAGAGTGCTCATAAGAAGCCAAAATCATATTGAAATCATGTAGTCAAACTGAATGCTGCATTACCACTTACAAACATGTCTGTCTAGACACATACAGTATCCCACAAAAGGGAGTACACCCCTCACATTTGTTTGGTTTTTAAATCAGTTCTTGAGCAAAAATGTCAAACATCTGTTGGTGCCAACTTCTCCAATGAGGGGGATTTGGTGCTTTCTCTGTTTACATCATTGTAAATTGGTTTTCAACTGTTGGCCAGATAAAACAAGACATTAACACTGGGCTCTGGAAAACCAGGTAAGACATTTCTCACTATTTTATGGATTAAATGGAAAAATATTTTTTGTTTACATTGCAACATTAAGTGTACACTTTACGCTGTACACTTCGGGATGCAGTGATTATTGGCAGACAAGAACTTTTGGGTGATGTGTTTTTGTATGTGATTATGTCTATGTGCCGTAGGTTAATCATGGTGTGATTGTACTGATATTTTGGCTCCGGCACACAAACTACTCTGCTGTTATAATGCAACGGAGTCTCGATTTTAATAATAAGAAATGTGGTTACTAATTCAGATCCATTGTGTACTGCTTCAGTGTTTTCTGATTTCATTCCGTCTCTGGATCCTCACTGATTGGATAATGATTGGTTGGATATGCTATTCTGGGGTGCTTAGCTTACGTCACAATTTCTCTAATATATACACTACACAGTACATATGCCTGGCAGGAGCTGAATGAAGGTGTGCATTTGCCCCCAGATGCTTAGTGACAAAGTGTTTGTGTGCATGTTGGAGCAACAGTTTGAGAGTGTGAGTGTGCGTATTTGTTTGGGTACTTGTCATCATCAAAGTAAGTGGTCCCTTTAATTACCCATAGCAGATGCAGTTTTTAAATAAAGGATACATCATCAAAGCTGCACACTCCACGCGCTGCACAATAGCGGTGCTGGGCAGGGGAATGGATTATTCTGACAAGAGAGGGAGGGGGATCTTTGGCACAATCAGAAACTGACTGAGAAAAGCGAGCATGAGGGAGAATGACGACACAGTGAGCTACTCATTTAAATGCACTTTTTTTTGAGAATCTGATTTTTAAACCCACAGTGTGGTTGTGTGCCATCGCCCTTCAGCAGTATTAATTTAAAAAGCTGTCCACATTACTCTCTCTCTTAGTATGGCTCATATGCACACTGTGGCTGTTGAGAATAAACGCATCAAAATGTAACCTTGACCGCTTTAATTTCTGGATTTGAAGACTTACGTGAGCAGAATGTATTTCTGTGCGCCATAATCAGCTGATTTATTAACTGGATTGATTTAATTACTGGAGTTAACTGAATGCCAATTATTTCTTTGAAATGCCAGTCACATCAAAATAAAAAAAAACAAATTCAAACCAAAAGAAGGTATACTAATAGCAGGTCTGACTGTTCTTGTTGTGTTCTTGTAACTAGGGCTGTGGCTTGAAATTTTTTTCCATTGTTGCTAATTACTTTTTTGATTACTCGTTCATTTAGTCTATGAAATAAAATTTAAAAAAGATGGCCTCCCTGGTGACAAATTTTAATTGCTTGTTTTGTCCAACAAACAGTCCCAAACGCAAATATATTCTATTAACTCACCATAGTTAGTTAATCACTGACTTCCTGACGGACAGGAAGCAGCACGTTAAGCTGGGAAAACATGTCTCTGACTCCAGGACCCTGAGCATCGGTTCCCCTCAGGGCTGCGTTCTTTCCCCCCTTTTCTTCTCCCTGTACACCAACACCTGCACCTCCAGTCACCAGTCTGTCAAGCTCCTGAAGTTTGCGGATGACACCACCCTCATTGGGCTCATCTCAGGCGGGGATGAGTCTGCGTACAGGTGGGAGATCGACAATCTGGTGACCTGGTGCAGCCAGAACAGTCTGGAGCTCAACGCTCTGAAGACAGTGGAGATGGTCATGGACTTCAGAAAGAGCACAGCCCCACCCTCCCCCATCATCCTGTGTGACTCTCCAGTCACCACTGTGGACTCCTTCCACTTCCTGGGCACATCATCTCCCAGGACCTCAAGTGGGAGCTGAACACCACCTCCATCATCAAGAAGGCCCAGCAGAGGATGTATTTCCTGCGGCAGCTGAAGAAGTTCAGCCTGCCAAAGACAATGATGGTGCACTTCTACACCGCCATCATTGAGTCCATCCTCACCTCCTCCATCACCATCTGGTACGCTGCTGCCACTGCCAGGGACAAGGGCTCTGCGGAGCCAATCTGTGATAAGGGCAAGCTGCAGCGCATCATTTGCTCTGCAGAGAAGGTGATTGGCTGCAATCTTTCTTCTCTTCAGGACCTGTATGCCTCCAGGACTCTGAGGCATGCAGGAAAGATTGCAGCTGACCCCTCCCACCCTGGACACAAACTGTTTCAGACTCTCCCCTCTGGCAGGAGGCTGCGGTCCATCAGGACCAAAACCTCTCGCCACAAGAACAGTTTCTTTCTGATGGCAGTGGGCTTCCTCAACAAGGCTCGGGTCCCCACTGTCAGTGACTCTCATGCCCCCCTCCCCAAACTCACCACACTCATACACTCTCCTGACCCCACACTTTACAACAACGCTCAACTGTGCTTTATGCTCATGTTGCCGTTGTATTATAGTAGTATTGTATGTTTTATATTTTTGTATACTTGTAAATTTTTCTGACCTCCTTACTTTTATATTTATATTACTATTTATGTTATGTGTACTGTAAGCACCAATTCATACCAAGGCAAATTCCTCGTATGTGAAAATGTACCTGGCAATAAACCCGATTCTGATTCTGATAATGAGACCAAAAAGTTAAGCAGCAAATCCTCACATTTCAGAAGGTGGAATAAGCAAATGTTTGGTATTTTGCACTAAAAATCATTAAAGATTGCATCCATTATAAAAGTTGCCCATTAATATTCTGTCAATCTGTCACTGAATGCTGTCATGTATTTTTAATTTAACCAAGCCTTCTTATTAACAAGAAAATCAGTTCTAGTCCATTAAAATGATTTACATACAGCATGTGAGCTAGTAGCAATTAAAAGGACAGCTACAAGCAGGTAAACTATGCATTGGCACATTTGGGCCATACATAATAGGTAGCAGCTGTGTGATATCGAATAAATTATAAAGCTGATGAGAAATTTGAATGAAGATACATAGTCATTCATCTTCAAGATAAGCAGCCTGTAATTACTCTCCAATCGCCACGGTAAGAAGAAAAAACAACTTTAAAGCTCCCTATCACATGCCCAGCATTGAGTATTGCAACTGTAACTTCAATGGCCCAGTCCTGCTTAAACAAAGTTACTTGATCAGACAGATGAAGGCAGAATTATCACAGTATCCATCAAACTTTCCTTAAGTACTTATATTATCTATCTACTTTCTATTAAAGCTGAAAGAGTTAAATTACCTCACACCTTGCCTTGGATTTTATCAGACCTAACAAATAGTGAAAACACAAACAAAAGAGGGTTGACAATTAGTAAAGTTGACTGGAAATTATTGAATGCCGCATATTGCTTTTGTCTCTTCATTAATTTTTTCCATACGCATTATGATTTCTTTAGGGTATAAACAGTTAAAATAATTTTTAAATGCACAGAACAAAATAGTGATGGACTGCATCTCTTTTACATTTGGGTCTTAGAAGCCTCCAGCACCGCCTCTCTGCCTGTTAGCATAGTATGCTATGGCCTGTCGTTGTCTCTACCTCTATTTGACTAGTCAAAAGGCGCTCTATGCGTCTTAGAGCTGCAAAGACTAGTCACTTAATAGATTAGTCAACTGAAAGAGCATTAATCAGCATGTATTTTGCTAATCGATTAATCCTGCAAGTCGTTTTTTCTAGCTAAAATGCCATTTGATGGAACCATTTTCTCAAATGTGAGAATATGTTGTTTTTCTTGGCATTATAGCAAATCTAATGATGTCACTTTGGGCACTACAAAACCGCGACGGGCAACTTTCATATTTTGACAGATAATGTGAGTTCTACTACCTATTGCTGACCCTACATTTACATTGTCTGAACACAGCAGAAGCCTGAGACTTACGAGTGCAGTAACCTTGGACAATCTAGCAGTGTGGTAGCCTGTTTGGAAACAAGTTTAGTACTATTCCAGTAAATCTGGACCTTCCTTTGCACAAGATGAGTATTCTGCTCTACATTATTCAGTAGGCACAGATTCATGTGGAGCGATGACAGAAGACCTTGATGTTGCAAAAGCTCCCCCTGTAATGAAGCATATAATTAGAGAGCTGTGAAACTGGCTGGGTTGAATTTGTGATCACAGCAGGGATCAGCTGCTCAAGGTTGCAATGTTCTTTGTAGCGCGTGGGCATCACTGCTGTGAGGGGTGTATTTCTGGATACTTCAAGGTGAGCGCTGGTCCCGTACTTTACTATATAGAGGTACAGATGTGGCTTAAGAGAAAGTATTTAATCAGATGTGGATTAATACACTGGACACATGCTCCACACTAAACCCAGGCTGTTACCCTGCGTAAGTGTCCTTTACACTGAATCCCATCCAGCTGTTCCTGAGGCCAAGCTTGAGCCCAGGCCTTTCTACAGGCCTGAATTTCCACACACAGCATTACAGTTTGACCTTTCCATTATCAGTATAAAACCATCTGTTTTTACTTGCTTGTTTTATAGTTCAGTCTCTCTTACCGTTTATAGGAGATCTTCTGTTTCCTCTTATGACAGTCCATTACCCATTCCTTACGTACGATGATGCCCCCCTGATTTCACCTGGCTGTACTTGGGGGTATTAGCGAAGGCACAGCTGGAGATTGATGGGCCAAAAGACGCAAATAGACACAAATATGGTCATTAAAGAGAAGCTGACAAGGGTAATAGTCTGCTCTGACAGGAGAAAACAAGATGCAATCAAACTGAATTACTGAGAGTGCACAGGGCTGTTACACAATCCTGTAATCTGTTTAGAAAAATTAACCACAGATTTTTAAAAAAGTGATGCAATTAAGAGAGCATCACTTGAAAAGCAATTTTGCACTATATGAAAGAAAGCTGATTTAGCCATTTATAAAAATGATTTTCTATTATCATCTATATTATATAGAGGTCCCACAACTTAAACTCCATTATACTTCAGCCATGTTACCACAATGGGCAAATTTCA